CCCCCCCCCCCCCCCCTTTGTGCTTTAATTATACATTAAAGCTGAACTCCAGGAAAACAGCTAAAACACACAGATGAACTACATGTTGGGGGCGGCTTTACAGGTCGTCCTAATCCTAAGATTTACACAGCTCTGTCACACACACCACAGCCCTGTTTGGCACCAGAGACCTGGTTTCTGTCTGCTGTAGTTTAGGTCTTCTCTCCCTCAGCCGATGACCGGGCAGTGAAGGAGAAGCAGCAGAGTGAGTACTTTATCACTCTGTCTCCTAGTAGCATGCTCCTTGCACCGTAGTATAACCGATTGGCTCTTTGTGCTGATTTTCCCCTACATAGTCTGAGCTCTGCTGTACAGGGACTGCAGCAAGCTGGTAAGTCAAATTTTGGTACTCAAACGATTTACATCTATATAAAGAAAAACAAACAAAAAAAAGGAAGGATTGATTTATTATTGAACACAGAGCTGCATTCATTTGTGTCCTATAGCTGCATAGATTTGCTTAACAAGGAACATGTAGGCTGTCACTGCTGATCTGCAAGTTGTCCGGCTGTCTCTGACTTCAAACATTTGAGTCACTGCACTGGAACACGTGCGCAGAAAGTGAAGTCACTTTTTTTTTTTTTACTCTCGTTTTTGGTCACAAATGACGACGCACACTTACCATATTTGTGGCAAAGAACAATTTAATTCTGCCAGAGCATAACACAAGCACCAACCCAAAGTGTACGGCCATCAATGGTAAATCGTACCTCTTTGTCCAGATATTGAAAGCCGTACTGTTCACAGATGGACAGAAGCTTCTTCCTGTGCAGGTGACCATCTCTGGTGATGCCGAGATCCTCGCAGATCAGCTGAAGCTTCTGTTCCACCCAGTCCTGGTCAGTAGACAGCGTGGTCTGAGAAGCATTGAGATCGTCCGGGTTCCAAAACCGTAACTGGCCTGATAGAAAAAAAAAAAAAAAATCATAATTACCAAATACATCTTATAATAAATAACACATAACTAAAACATTAATTCAGGTAACCTGCTATAAAAGTGCCAACTCTGGCCCACAATTTGTTTATATGATCACAAAAGCAATTTCCTGGTCCAGATTTGTAGAAGATACGCTGGATGATCTTGGTTGGTTAGGTGTCAGGGTTCAGCAGGATATTGTCATTTATTACAGGTATTTATATAGCGCCGAAAATTTACATAGCTGCACATTCATATTAGTCCCTGCCCTCAAGGAACTTACAATCTAAAGCTGGCCATACACTGTTATGTTATTTTCTTTCAACCTGCAGGCTGAAAGAAAGAAACAAAAAAATAAACAGATTCCTCTAGACACACTAAACAGCGTGGATGGGCGGATCTCCTGCTGGGCTGTGGTATTCTGTGCCGCTGTCAGAATAATTGAACAGTGATTGGAGCCGAGTGACTGCAGTCGGTGATCACCTTTAAGTTTTCTGACCGATTTTCACGAACTGGACAAAATTCGGACAGTGTATGGTCAATGCATCCCTACTTCACATACCCTAGGGATGCATCGATACCGTTTTCTTGGTATCGAGTACCGATTTTTTTTTCCAGTACTTGGAGATATTGAATACCGGTTACGGAAGTCCCATTAAAGGAAGCCAGGCGGCGATTCATTACACTGATTAGCTGGAAGATGTGCGATGACTCGCCGCCAGGCTTCCCGATTACCTGGGAAGCCAGGTCCATGCGCCTTCGTCACAAGGTGACAGGGAGGCATGAAGCCAGCTTTCTGGCCAATCATGAATCCAGGCAGCAAGTCATTACCCACCCCACCGCTTCCCGATTGGCCAGGAAGCCAGCCTCATGCTCTCTGGTGATGGAGCCAGCTTCCTGGCCAATCAGGAAGCCGGGCGTGCAATGACGCCTGCCCGGCATCCCGATACCGGAAGTTCGGCACCGATACTCGTATCGGTGCAGCCCTAATATACAAGAATACTAGGGCCAATTTAGACAGGAACCAAAAAATCTACCAATGCCAATACATACTGCAGTCACATCAGTCCCTGCCCTAGAGGAGCTTACAATCCTCTAGACCTCTACAAGGTCCCCATCTCACATACATACAGGGCCGTTTTAGGCAAAAGCCAATTAACCTTCCACAAGGTCTTCGGAAAGTGGGAGGAAACTGGAGTACACAGAGGAATCCCAAGCAAGCAAAGGGAGAACATGTAAACTCCATCCAGATAGTGTCCCGATTCGGATTCTAACTAAGGACCCGCAAGGCAGAAGTGCGGACCACTGAGCTGCCTTAATTCATTTTCCTAAATATCTATTTTTTTCACTAAATATCTAGTTTTTTAAGCAAGCACTCATATATTAAGCACTGTTATCAGTAGACTAAGGAGGCATAACTTAAACCTGTTACAGGCCATTTAGAAAATTTAAATTCAAGACAAAACTAAAGTGGAATAGATACAGGGACTGACGTAATTGATTTTATATAGTCCATAAGTCATTGCACTAAATAAAGACAGAACCAAAATAAATAACAGGCTTACTTTTACTTAGGTGGGTGTATTATACATGTACCCAATCATTAATAACAGCACAGGTGTTCATGCCAATATGGACAACAACAAAAAATTCATGTAAAAGAGACTTTAGCGCCATCGCTGCAACACCAAAAACAAATGTAACAATTTTCAATAGCTGAAAAACGTAAGCATGATCACCGGAAGCATCCTCACTTCAGGAACAGTGCTCTGCCTAAACCTGGAGAAGTGAAGGTCTATCGATTGGGTAGGCAATCTCTGGCCCTCCATGCTGGAGTTTCCCTACCCCTGTTCTATTGGAATGCCATTTCTTTATACAATGTGCAAAAAATTTAACAGTCCAGAAGAATGGTAACGCGCCAAAAAAACTTAAAGAACTCAATGTGACACCCAAGAATCCAACAGGACATGCTGGTTTAATTTGCTCGGACATTACATTAAAATGAGACGCCAATAATTTTCATTACTCAAGAGGTTTCAGGTGATACTATGAATGCGGGGTGGAGAGGGGTGACGTTTGCGCCCATGACATCTCTAAGTTACTTGACAATTTGTCATCAGCCTAATGCAGTGTCAGAGCTAGTGAGATGCTCATTAACAATCCATGAATCTGTGCATTGATCCTGTTTAATAAATGATGCACCATTACAGAGGACTATAAAAACAGCCATTCTGACTTCTGTTAATCTAATTAAACCAAGTTAGATTGGACCAATTAGGTACATTTGTTCGCTCATTCAGTGTCTGGAGCAGTCCACAGATTTCTGTATAATGCGATCAGCGCAGCAATATATTCTTATATCACCAGAGTTTACACCCAGCACCAGACTTATTTCAGCTCAAATTCAGCCAGTAAAAAATATAATTAGCCCAAACAGAAGCTCCGGCATGCCAAATCAGCAATGCAGGTGTTTTGACTATTGGCCACCGAGATGCCTATAATGCACTGTGGGATATGCGAGAGTGCCACACAGCACAGCCCTGTCTGAGGTGCCTATAATGCACTGTGGGATATGCGAGAGTGCCACACAGCACAGCCCTGTCTGAGGTGCCTATAATGCACTGTGGGATATGCGAGAGTGCCACACAGCACAGCCCTGTCTGAGGTGCCTATAATGCATGGCAGGATATGCAAGAGTGCCACACAGCCCTGTCCAAGGTGCCTATAATGCATGGCAGGATATGCCAGAGTGCCACACAGAACAGTCGGAGGTGCCTATAATACATTGCGTTCAAATTCAGGTTGTCACATTGCTCGCATTTAAAAAAAAAAAAAAAAAAAACACACTTAATGCAGAACTGTGGGAAAAATAATTCTTAACCCTTCCAGTGGAGTTACCCCTGAACTGCAAGGGTTAAGTGCTTGTTTTTTTCTGGGTTCAAAAATAAGTTATATCCACCGGATCCTCCGAGCAGGCTTGCTCTTAGACCGGTCCCTTCCACCGGTCTCCTACTCCGCAGCGATGGTATACCCCTTGGTGTCCCACGCGCTGAGTACAGAATGTGATGACTCACAGGACCCTTAGGCCACTGCAGCGGAGGGGGCACGAGGCAGCAAGGACCCGGTCTAAGGGCAAGCCAGGTCAGAGGATCTGGTGAGTATATTTGTTATTTTGTAACCAAGACAAAAACGAGCACTTAACCCTTGCAGGGCAGGGGGAGCCCCATTGCAAGGGTTAAGAATAATTTCCGCCGGAGTTCTGCTTTTAATGTATTATTGAATCAAGAGCTACATTAATGTGTCTTTTAAATCTGCAAGAAGTCCAACTTATAAACATCTCTAGCATTTAAATTGAAGCAACCTGAATAAAATGTGATCTCCGATAATCCCGTAACTGGAGATGTAGGGCCCTTATTAAATTTACATGAACAGAAACAATGCGAGGATTACTGAAGCCGAAAACGAAGGGCAATTCAGATATATAAACGGCCTGAAAAACGATCCGGTGCAGACGGATCTCGGAGCGGCGTTCCGGGCAATTACTTTTCTGTGCCGGCAACACGCCGCTTCCGAACACAATGTACTTTTGGGTTAATTGTGCGATAGGAACTCTGCTACATTCTAACCAAGGTGCATGGAAACAGGAAGATGCCGTTATTGAGCGGCCTCGCATTGTTTGGCTAATGACTGCATGCTTTGATTTATTCTAAACTAGAGGCCCACAATGACCCAGACCTCGTTAAAGTCTAATATTTAACCAGTATGGAGAAACAGAGAATGTCAATGTATTGGATTTTACCTGCTGGGACTTTTATCTTAGGCTTTGTTTTCCTTTATAGCACATACAAATCAGGCAGCGTTTTACAAGGTACACAGATCAATTCACATCAGTCCCCAACCTCAGAGGTGCTTAAATGAACAATGCATCCATAAGCGGTATTTTAGGTGTTAGTGGAGTCTAGTAAACTGAGGCTAATGTCCTATAATTCTTGGATCCTATAGCTTAAGACCTCCTGTCCACACTTCCTGGGTTATCTCAAGGAGTCTAATTAGCCCTCCTAGTTCTCATGTTCAACTACAGATCAACTGATGCTTATGTTGTAGACTGGAGAAGGGGCGTAATCATCGGTTTAGCAAAGCAAAACTGGGAAGGGCTGACACCACTCAGTCCACCAAAATGCTGTGTTGTCAGTCCGCAACAGAACTCAGGAGCTGCGTGCATTTTCAGCAGATCAACAGGGATTTTTCTGTACTTGCAGGGTCTTTAAATGGAGTAAAAATGCGGCTATCTGATGTAATGGATTTAAAAAGAGACATGTGCATGACAGGGGGGGGGGGGGTGTACTTTTAATGCAAAAGAAGAAAAAAACTACATTACCGTAGTAAGTTTATTGTTCCAAAGTAGGGATTTAATGCTGTCTGTCTTTAGAAAGGAGCATACGTCCATAAGCATTGTGAGTCTACGAAAGTACCGATGTATACCCACCATACAGTCGTGTATAGCGATGTCTAAGGGCAGATGTACGCGGCACCTGTGCTCCCCGGTTAAGAAACTACACTCAAAATTTACTTGTATGACCCACCACGTGCCCAAGTGCATGAGGCCCTTTCCGGTATTTGTAATTTTCCCCCTTTAGGGCTATCCATGCAACTCCTAGGAAAATCAAAAAGGTGCCTGTTTCACTTGAAAATAGTAACTCATGGCTTCATAAAATATAATGCGTAATCAAGCACTCCTCACCACTTGAAAAATATTGAGGTTTTTATTGTGGTCTGTGTTTTTACATAAATGGCCCCCCCATGTGCATGATGCCTAAAGCATAAAAGCAACACTCCACGTCTAAAAATAAATTATCTGTAACGAGCAAGTGAACGCAAATGCGTTTTGGGGATTACAAAGACTGCAAATGCCACCCCCCCCCTTTTACAGGGCTATGGACATCTATACTAAGAAATGTAATCGTCTTGTCCAACACAGGGATCTGAAAACGTAAAAGTATTTAATTTAAAAAGTGTTCAAACGAACACATGGAAGAAAAACGTGTTTCCCTTGAGGATTACAAATAAAATCTTATTCTGGACTTTTTACCAGTGGAGCGTTACTTCTATGCTTTATCCAGCCTTGGAGGAGGTAACACACCAATCTATGCTATCCAAAATGTTTAAAAAAAAAAAAAGAAGAGGCACACTAAGTTGTACCAGCTCTTCCTGAATAATTTCCATGTTGCACATGCTGGTGACAAGCCATCAGTCACGGGATTGTGGTGAAAACACCCCGAACACATTTTAAGAGCTGGCTCCATCGCTGGCCAGATTAGTGAGGGGTCCCTGCCGGTGCAAACGCTGCAGAATGTCGCTTGCCGTGTAACCAATGCCTCGATCTCCCAGCCACCGATAAAGCAAGTTGTGCAAATGGTTTGATACTGCTCTGTCCTGTTCTGTCCGGCCATTTGATGGCGGGTTGTCACCAACGAAAGACTAACAAGTGCAACACGAGCCTAAAACCGAATAAATGTCATTAAGTTCATGTCATTTGCTTACCTTCTGCTTCATATTCTTCTCCTTCTTCATTCTTCCAAAGCTGACAAAAAAAAAAAAAGAAATATATTAGCAACCACTGATAAGCAGGAAGGCAACTCCGGCTTTATTACGGTGTAAAGCGAAATGGGAATGAGTAACAGAACAATGGAATGAAGCGTTATCTGTGGGACTCTATTTAACGCACCACTGACTCAATTATCTATCATTCATCTCGCAAATTATACTCAGAAGTTATTTCGTTATGGTCAGAGATCCAACCCAATATGCCAAACATGCAGCAGAAAAGAGGGCACATTAATATAGATGTTATGAAGATGTCCCCAACTGGCAACAAATCATACAGTCTACAATGTAATAGGGCCTGGCCCCAAGTTGTGCTGGTTGGGTATTCATGACCTGCCATATATCAGGATTAGTTTATTGTGTTAGCCATGACTAGAGCTCTCTTCTTAGCTAGAAAAATGATTAATTTAAGGTGGGTTTCACCTAGCCCACACCATGGAAAAGCATGACACTGATCTAGGGTAGCAGCATCATCATCATCCAGGGTAGCCTAAAGCTGTTGCCCTAGATTAGCACCATTGCCATGCATTGCTATGGTGTGGGTGGAATGCTCCAGGGAAACATATGAAACTGGAGCCGTGAAATATTGGGTAAACTGCGTCCTGTATAGAGAAGCAGCTTCTTAGATCCAATCCCGGGACGATCCTGTATAATACAGGATGGGTGCAAACCCTATAATGAGTTAATCTTCACAATTCTGCTTGCTATCCTGTACTGGACCACATCATGACAGAGAGGTCCCATAGACTCATGACATACCGCTAAAAAAAAAGTTTAAGTGTAAAATCACAATAAAATGTATCTGGTTAAAAAAAATAAACATATTATTATATACACAAACAAATAAATACAAATTATAAATATGCGGAACCAGAGAAAGCTCAGAATATTCTGAATGAGAGACATAACCTATTTTGACAGCTTCAATTGAGGCTGTAAAAAAACATTTTCCCTTTGTGGCCCGTGTGACAAGGCCTGGGACACCTGTTCTTGGGGCCGAGAGGTCTTTTGCAGCTCCATCGGTCATGCGGCAATTCATGGCATTGTCTCCATTAATCACAGAATTCTATTATGCAATTCTCCGGCCGTCGCCTTGGTTACGTCATTCAGCGGTCACCTTTTATGCTCTTATTACCATAAGAACTTGGAAGCCGCTTTTCAACTTGAAGGAAGGGGTTGGGGGAGAAGTTGCACAAGGTCATAGGTCAAAGATGCTGCAAAATGGCTGCTGCCACGCCAAGGGCAATAAAATAAGAAGAGTGACACTCCTGGTTGCCAGGTTGCACACGCGGTTTCAAGCGAGATGCGCACCATGCAGCAGCTGGATTGGCTGGGTGGGAGGTTCACACCTATAACAAAGTGCCAGGCCGGAAAAAAACAAAGATTTGAGGATGCATTGTTCCTTCCCGGCATTAAAAGCAGATGGCAGGAGGTCTCTCTATTGTGGGCCAAGACGTCGCCGTAGCATCTGTAACGCGCGGCTCATTCCGGTGGCCCGACACACGTGATCATAATTTAGAGACTGCCGCCACTGTCCCATCTGCTCCAAGATGGGAAATTTTGTTCCTGAGGAGAACTTGGGACTCATTTAAAAGGAGTTACCGAGGCGTGCCGCCATTAGAACTCTCGTTTAGCACTACGCTTCTCCTGGTTAACCCTCTAATCATTCTGATTTCAGCATTAAACTGGCCCCCACTTGAGTGGATTAACCTCGAAATACATCACAAGGCAGTTCTGAAGTATGAGTCCCTCCATGCTACAGTGATGGCACAACTCCCTAATGCAGGGGTAGGCAACCACAGTACTCCAGCTGTTGAGGTACTACAAGTCCCATGAGGCATTGCAAGACTGACAGGCATGATGGGATTTGTACCTTCACCACAGCTGGATTGCCAAGGTTGCCTGGTCCTGCCCTAATGCATTAAAGTGCACATTTTTGGATAGAGCAGGTAATATATCACTCGTCGCGTCTGTCTCATTGGAGAGATTTCTCACTACTCCCAGTTACAGAAGTGAGATGAAACATCTCTCTCAAGGTTGTGCAAATGCCCTTTAACCCAATTGTCACCAGGTGGTGCCAGTTTCATTTCTATAAAAGGGAACCGTGATAACACCACCAATGGGGGGCTATTCACGGAAGAGTAGTAACATGACTGCCTTGAAGAAGTGTAAACCTGCCTTGTGTGCACCACCTTCTGGCTGCAAATGGTAAATAGTACTATATGCAACATAATTCCATAATTATTCATATCCAATATGAATCCCATAAAAATTTTACAGATTCAAAAATTGTATTCTTTAGCCCTTGTTCAGTCCTTTAAAATTAAGAAAGGCTCTAAA